ATATATATATATATATATATATATATATATATATATATATATATATAACAGATACATAGATTCTCCCAGAAGGCATGAGGTAACTGTGTAATTCAAATGCTGATTTCTGTACCCCTAATGCCTGGTTGCAATCCTTGTTCTGAGAATCTCCTGTCTCAGTGTTGTGTAAACACAACTCCCCAATTGTTCCCTTATATCTTAGTGAAGCAGCTTATAGCCAACCACTGAGCAGGGAAGAAAACAGAGCTAGACTTCCTGCTAGCCAGGTAGGGGACTCAGTCACAGGTAGAGGTTCGGGAGAAATCAAAGAGAGGAGTTTGAGCAAAAAAGCCATGAAGTGCAAGTATCTCTGGGATGTACACTGGAAGGAGCCCAGACTAGCCTAGACAGTTAAGAATAGAGCTATAACTGCTGAGGATTGTGCTGAAACCTTGATAAACAAATAATGTAACAGAGTCTCAATTATTTGGGTGATAACCAGGTTAAGAGAAAAACTGAGAAACAAACGCAATTATATAAAAATAACTTTAATATCCCCCAAAGGATAATATCTTGAATCTGTATCTTTGACTAGGCAAATGCTTTTGTAAGATTTTTTACTATGGCAATATATACATAACATAAAAATTATCACATGCCATTTTAAATGGTTACAACTAACAATAAAATGGCATTATGTTGGCATCCACCTGTTAGGCAAACATTCTCACAGTCTAGTTACAAAACATTTTTATCACCCCAGGACAGAACCCCACAACCATTAAGTCATTTTACATTCTTCCTTCCCACCAACCCCCGACAATCACTACTTCCTGTGCATATTTTTTGCTTTTAAATATTTAAAAATAGAGCCTTATCACATGTAAACTTTTATTTCTGTTTTAACTTAATATATTTTCAAGATTCACCCATGTTGTAGTTTATTCTTTTTAAAAAGATTTATTTTACTTGTGTGTGTTCATTTTCATGCATGTATGTACAACCGCATGTGTGCTGGACGCCCACGAAAGTCAGAAGAAGGTGTTAGACAGCCCCTGCAATGGAATTATGGATGGTTGTCTACGAGAGCAACAAGTGCTCTTAACTGAAGAGGCAACCCTCCAGCCTCTCACTCTGCTTTTATAGATGAAGAATATGTTGTTGTGCGGATAAACCATGTTTTCTTTATCTTCTCATCAGTCCATGACTGTTTACACTGCTTCCATCTTTTACCTACCATGGATAAAAATGTTGTGAACTTCTCTGTATAGGATTTTGTGGGAAATTCCAGGTTTAATTCTCTACGCGTGAAACCGCTAGAGCTCCTGGTGACTTGATAGTTAACTTTAAGCTATACTTGTATCATTTTCCATTTCTATCAGTGATGTGTTAAGGCTACAATTTCTCACCATCTTTGCCAGTACTTTATTTTGTTTTGTTCGTGTTATGGCTTTTATTTTCTTATAGCCAGCCTACTGCTTATTATATGTGCAGTTTTTCCTTGTTTGTTTCTTTCCATTGACTAGTGGCATTAAACATCACTGGATGTGTTTGGCTATTTGCTTGTCTTCCTAGAATTATCTCTTCAAGCCCTTTGGGCTTTATTTTTGTTTCATTTTCTAAGTTTGTTGTTGTTGATTGTTTTGTTTATTTGTTTGTCTTGAAATAAATTCTCAGAATGTAGTTTCAAATTCACAGACCTTTGGCCGCAGCCTCCCAAGAGTTAGGATTGTAGGCTTGAGCCACCATGCCTGGCTATTTGACCATTTTTTAATTAGAAATGGTTTTGTTACTGTTGTTGGTAAGGGTGGTGTTGCATTGCCAGAGTTCTTTACTGACAGATATTTTTTTTTAAAAGGAGTCACACATATTTTTAGAAGTGTATACAGAGTTCTTGGCTATTTACTAAAACAAAAGAAATATAGAAAGTGCTCAATATTTGCATACACATTTCAGAAAGACATGCTAAAAAGCTATCATACTACCTGAAAAAAATGGCCAAAACAGCCTACAGTGTTTTTCTATTCAATTATGAGTTCAGACAATTAAAATTGATGATTTCTGTTCTTCATCACAATAAATTCTATTACTGATGAAGTACATTGGACTAGAGAGATACATAATTCTTTTCCCATCTCCATAGCGCAACTGAAATATTGGAGGAAAGTAGAAATGTGAAAAGTTTCTGTTACTTTTTTGTAAATTTTTTCATCTTACCAATTTACTGTCATCTTTATTTAATCAACAAATTTTAACAAACTTTTCTCATTTTTTAGATAGGATCTCACTGAGTAGCACTGACTGCTCTAGACTTTAATATGTAGACCAGACTGGCCTTGAGTTTATAGGTATCAGTATGCATTTACCTCTGAAATGCTGGGATTAAAGGTGTGTACCACCACAGCAAGCTAAATTTTCCTTAAGTGTTAAGTATTTGCCATATTCTAAAAGCATAAATCAAAAATGATTTATATATATATATATATATAAATCACAGCAGTGTCCATAAAGATTTCAGAGGAAGGCTTAGGGCCAGGAGATGTCTGCAATGTCAGTAACATTAAGGAGAGCCACCTGCAGCGAGTGGAGCAAGCCCAATGGGGAGTCCATCTGGGATACAATTAGCTTAGAGGGATGGGCCTGCACAGACCTCTTAGAAATAACATCATGATGCCATGTGCCCAGGATGACAGTGTACCCCAGACCTCCTTCCCCCAGCTAGGCTCCACATACTAGTACTTCAACTACCTCCAAAAGTAGTACCACCATTTGAGGACTAAGTGTTCAGTACCTGATCCGATGAGTTGTTTTATATTCAAACCGTATATGGCTTATACACAGAAACTTTCCAGTGAGCACCACATGGAATGCAGTTGCTTCATCGTCTTCATCTTTCTCACCAGTTTCTTTTTTAAAATGCTTATTGCATACACACGCATATAGGCACATCCAGGTGTGTGCAGACATACTTCTGTGTGCAGGTACACAAACACCCATCCGTCTT